TGAAATACCGTATTTAATTAGGCATTTTATGCCTGGGATACCATTACCACTTCGCTAGACTTAACAACAATAAAAACCGACGGTTACCTTCGATCTGCCCTTTTGAACTTATAGACAGAGCATCTTTTTCCATGATAAACACCTCGTAAACGAGTCACCAACCTCCAAGTTACTAATGTCCCGTAAACCGTCTGCTAATAGTTTATAGCAGCCCTTCACGACTACCGTAACATCTTCCAAGAATTCACCTCACAATGAACCTTGGCATAAATTTCGTCGTGCAGTGTTTACTGGCTATTTTTTTTACGTCAATACGAAGTGTAATTTATGAAGAGCTGCAATCTACTGTCTGAATGGACGATAACGTAAAAAAAACCTGAAGTGAAAAAAAGCAAATAGAAAAATGACAATGCGAGGACAAAGCACAAATGACGCGAGTCCAAATAAATGGCTGATGAGCAACCTCTCAGAGGCAGCATATCCAATGGATGCAGGACGCGAATGTCCACTTTGAGGCTGATGCCAACCTGCGAAACAACACGCCGATCTTCTTATCCAGTCATTGGAATGGCTACTCATAAATTTCATCATCTGCGGATTAAACATAATAAAGCAAATAATCTGCGTCCTTTCCCTGTTGGTTGTAGGGTGCTTAGAATCTTGATAACAGATCTCCAACCATCTGTAAATTAGACAAAAACAGACAAACGATAAGTTCAATAATCTGAGGTAGTTACCATGATTAGATTTCCAATTCTGCCGGTAGTCATAACTTTACTATTTCTGATACTGGATTCACTCGGAATACGTCCACCCCTCACTGCTTCTAGTCACCTAAGGAGATCACAGAATTGCCTTCTGATAACAGCCGACTTGACGATATTTGAGTCCAAGTTTGAGTCCAATGCACTGCAGGTGCTCAAACTCCACAGAGCCGTGGCCTGCTTAAATACACCCCTCCCCTTCAAGCAAATAGTAGAAAAGGAGTAATGCGCTAAAATCAATAAAAAAAACCTGTACCAAAAACTGAAACGTAACATGCGACGTACGCAGTGTACATGCATTTATACGAATGTCAAATCTACAAACATGCACATCCATTGATACAAACGTAAAAATGCCATATGGGCCAAGGTCGCTTGATATTCAACAAAAACATGCAGAATTAGCGGGTCAGGCAAGTTCTGGCGTGACAACGCCAGACTAACGAAGTGATAACATTTTTCTGAGGTTACAGACCTCAGTCTGCTTCATTATCGCAGCACGGCAGAGCAAATCTCCTTCTGAAAAGCATCAGCAGTAAACCAGAATCCTAGTTTAAGGAACAAACCAATGTGCCATTGGTCTTTCCGTCCTCGTTTCTGTTTCCTTACGAGCTGGTGAATTTGTGAAGAATGAAAAAAAAGAAAAAAAATGTATAAGGAAGCAGAAGAAAATTTTAAAAAAAATAAATCGAAATCTGAAAAAGTAAAAACATTTAGCGCTTAGCGTTTTCTTCTTAGAAAGCGTGGCTAACTGAGTGAAATATCGATTTTACCAACCAGCCTTCCGTGACAACAATGGAATTACGAGATAAAGAGGAAAATAGTAAAAACACAAGATAGACAGATGAGCAATAGAAAAAACTACGCGAAGAAAGTAGACCGAGAAAAAACAATTTAATCACACCTAGCGGTTATAAAGCTGATTGAGTGAGCTATCGCCGTGATAGGCTTGTCTTCTATTAAAACAATGAGAGTAGACACGTCGAGGAAAATTGAAAAAAAACATTTGTTTTATGGTGCATACTTTCTTATTTCAAGCTGGTCGGTTCGGTCGATTGCTGATCTTCGATTACGCAACAGTTACAGACTCGCCCATGCATACGGATATCATTTCTCTACAGTAATGCTTCATGGTCATCTCCCTAGTACAAACATGAGGTATGAACGGCTATCTCGAATCGTTTGATTGGTGTTTGACACAGAGCTTGGTTCATCTACTCAGATCAGCCCTAATAGCACATGAGCATCTGCAACCTCCTGACTGTCACTGCGTTACTAAGAAACTGCTTCGGATCTGAAAATCCCG